TACAAGGTGAACAATATTTGGCCTCCAGGCAAAGATTATCAGGCATTCAAAGAAGCAAAGATATGTGGCCCTTATTGAAGAGAAAAACCTATCAGTGGAAACCCACTTCAAACAAACAGACTTTAGAATTAGTGAAGGCTATTAAAAACAATTATAACTGTATTATGATCTTCCTTGCCCCACCCTCCATCTGCCTATAAAACTTTTCTGTTTTGTACTATTCCTCAGAGCAACTCTCTATTTGCCAGATGGGATACTGCTTGATTCAAGAATTGTTCAATCAAACCAACTGGGTCTTCAAATTTACTGGATTTAATTTTTGTTCTTCCACACTCTAACACTTAGGCACATTTTCACTGTTCCTACCTCTTTGTACCAGCTCGTCAGCATGCTAACATTTCTGACAGGCATATTTTCTTTGTGATTGGCACACATTTTTATTATGATTGCTCTTTTAGCACATCTATAATATGCTTCTCTTCTAGGTTTTGGTAATATATAGCACATGGCAGCCATAATCTCTGCTTGTTGTTATCTTCTAGCAGTTTTTTTCACGGACATGTTTCAGTTGGTTGAAGCATTGTAAGAAATGGGAAATGCATCAAAGTTTGTGCTCTGCCTGTGTTTCTTCTTATTTACATATCTCTTTGTCTCTAAATTGAAACGTCATTTTCTCTTTTGGAAATTCCTAGGATACTGAGCAGTATGACTCACAAGAATCTGCTCTCACATCTGGTGACACCAGCCCCGCTTATCCAGAAACCACAGGATCTTCAGGTATGTGCATTTGGGCATTTGCATAGGGACTACCAGAAGAAAAATAGTGGCCTACAGAGTAGTTACAGTTTTTCAAATGAAGATAATGGTTTATTTATAATGGTGTGAAATCAAAAGAGTAAATTCTAAGTTTCTTAATCTTCTGTAATTTTTTAAAATGATGCTTTGATAGCAGTGAAAATGAATATTTCATCAATGGAAGTGCTTGGAAGTTGGTATTACTCCCTCCTATTTAAATTTAAACTTGTAAAGATCGCTGCTATATCTCAGTCTTTGGAAGAACAGCACCTTATCTTCTAATTTCCATGCAGTCTTTTCTGCTTATGGCATAATAGTTACATTCCAGAGAAATCTCTTGTTTAAAAAAACTGTACTATACAGTATATAATAAGAATTTCTAGTAAAGGGAAAAAGGGAACGTCTCTCAAAAACAATATTATTATATAAGTTTCAACATTAAATACATTTCATAAACATAATTGTATAAAATACCACATTTAAAGCAGTGGGGATGCATAATGCAGACCATATCCTTTAATTAGCTAATCTTACCATAGATAATTTGTAATTATAATTTATTTGTTAGATAAATTCTTTCAAAACATAAGGCCCCATTTTCTTTATAGTATATATGTTGTCTGTATGATATATATTAGTCACACTTTTTTGCTCATCTGCATAATTAGATGATTCAGCTTTAACATATCCCCACTATTTTTCCACAAATATTCATATTAGAAAAAAAAGATAATTTATATTATGTAGTATTCATATATAGAACTGATACCTCTTTTTTTTTTTTTTAAATACTCTAGTTAACAACCCTTCCATTATTATTGTCAATCTCAAAACTTTGTTTTTAAAAATTCTTCAAAACAATTGATTTAGGAGGAGAGGGGGCAAAGTCCCTGGACTCATGATTGTGATTTCTAAAATATATGAGTAATTTAGTTTTAAATTTGCACACAGAATTCACTCTTTGGGGTGTGTAGTTCTGTGGGTTTCACAAAGACAAAGAGGCAGGTGTCTACCACTACAATACCAGGCACAAAATTCCTTTGTGCTATCTGAACTCAAACTCTGTTCTCAATCCTCTGACAAACATTGCATCTCCGTTTTTCTTTTTTAGAATGTCATATAAATGGAATAATACAGTATCTAGCCTTTTTGGTTTGGCTTTGTTAGCAAAATGCATTGAAGATTTATCCATATTGTATGAATCAATGCTCCATTTCTTTATGTTTGCTGAGTAGTGATGTATCTTATGATGTTGTTTTTTAGAATCCATTCATCCATAGAAGGACATCTGAGTTGTTTCCAAGTTTTTAGTGGCTATAAATAGAACTACTATAATCATTTGCATAAACTTTTAATGTATATATATGTTATTAATTCATTTGGATATATTCCTGGGAGTGGGACTACTGGATCATATGGAAGTGGGTATGAAAAAAAAAAACAAAAAAACAAAAAAAAACAACACCTGCCAAACTATTTTCCAAAATGACTCTACCATTTTGTATTATTCAAATAATGTTCTTCACTTTGCTTTTTGGGGCTGTTGAAGGAGCATCATGTTGCAACACCGCCAAGATCATTCAAGAACTCCTGAAATCCCATAGCCTGGGGAATCTAGTTTTTCAGAAGTGATTTATGACCAGGTTTAATTTGTGTGTGTGTGTGTGTGTGTTTTGTTTGTTTGTTTGTTTTTTAATCAGTTGGAAGGTACCAAAAGAACTGTATAATGAAAAGATACTTAACACTAATGAGTTTGGGCACCCCCTTATGCTTGGTTGGGTGAAGGTAAAGTCAGACACTTCTTCCCTTTTCTTCATTTGCAGATATGGACAGATTTTAAAGTAATTTCTGAATTACTCCTGGTACCTGGCATGTCTAATCTTCAACATGAAATAAAAATGGACTCTCTTGTTTATACAACATAAAAGGAAACAAACAAAGATAAATCTATATAATCTCTTTTATAGAATTGCTATTTTTGCTTTGGGGGTCATGAATTTCATTGTGCTTGCTTCCTCAGCTACAACAGCTACAACACCTTCACAGAACTTAGAACATGAATCTTCTATGGAAGAGGGGAGTTTAGCTGAGGTGGAACATGTGCAGTGCACCGAAGCAATGGAGGAAGAGGTGAAGCAATTGGACAAGGTGGAGCAGGAAAATCTTGCTCCACATATTTATCTGAACCAGTAACTCTGGAAAGCTCCAAATTTCTGTTGTGCCCAGTTTCAGTTAGAAGAAAGCATGCTTTTTGCTTGTTTGTTTTAACTATCCCTATTTCTGTTGTACTGGATTTTCAGATGTAGCTGAAAATTTATTGCAGTGGTTCTCAACCTTTCTAATGCCACGACCCTTTAATACAGTTTCTCATGTTGTGGTGACCCCTAACCATAAAATTATTTTTGTTGCTACTTCATAGCTGTAATTTTGCTACTGTTAATGAATCTTAATGTAAATATCTGTGTTTTCTGATGGTCTTAGGCTCTAAGGCAGCGGTTCTCAACCTGTGGGTCACTACCTAAGACCATGTAGCAGGGTGGCCTAAGACCATTCCATAATATGGGAACCACTATCAGGGTGGCCTAAGATCATCCCACAACATGAGGAACTGTATTAAAGGGTGGCAGCATTAGAAAGGTTGAGAACCACTGACTTAGTGGGTCCCAGCAAACAGGGAGGTTGAATTTCTCTAAGACCAAATCCTTATTCTCTTAATATTAAATATGCAAAGACACTTTATGCTTGAGAAAAAATTTGAGCTGAATAGGAAGATTAACCCCAAGAAAAGGCAGTAAAGTATTCTTAAGACCCATGCTCTTCATCACCTGTGAGAGAATGCTGACCTCAAAGGAAGATGACATTACTGCATACCCATACCAATACCTACCCAACAAAACTAGATTTCCTCAATGGAATTTTTATAGATTAGAAGCATGACTTTCAGAATGTTATATATACTAGTATACAACCTTCAATAATAAGCACTAATGTATATGGTCTGAGGCCAAATCAGGATAGTTAAATTAACTAATACACTATCACATACAAGCCAGACTGAGCTGTTGTTTCCAAGTTTTTAGTGGCTATAAACAGAACTACTATAATCATTTTCATAAACTGGGAGTGTATATAATTTGTATATATAATCACATATTTGGATGAATATAATATTTTATATTAGGATTATTAAAATCAGGATTCCTATCTGGAGAAGGGTGGTGGTGTGAAGACCGGTAAGGTTTATTTCAGTAAGGTTTATGGCAGCCAATATAATGAACTTACAGTCTGTTATGTGGTATTGCATGTATTGATTACCAAGCCAAAGGTGAGTCACCCCATTCCTGATGCCAAGCCATTCTCTTCTATTGAGAATAACTGAGGGCTAGAGGACAGTTATTTGAGTTTGGCCCCAGCAGTGTGATCTTGGCACATTCCTGAGTTTCAGTTTCTTTATCTTGAAATGGTCTGCTTGCCTTGCAGGGATTTGTGAACTGCCATGGAAATTCTTTGAATTGTTTAAAAGGAAATTTCTGTAGAATTCCATTTTCTCTTTATGTCATGCTAAAAACTTGATCTTCTTTCACTGTTGACAGGCTTCTCTTCTCCTTTGAATTAATTTACAATTAAACTTTAAATATAACTTTTATTTACATTAATCAAAATAACCAGCAGTGAGTATGTGTAGTCTGGCTCTGTATGTGATAGTGTATTAGGCTTATTTCTGAGTGCCATAGATTGATAGGCATTGATAACAGGCATCCGGTGGATGTTCCCCACATGTTTCCTTTGTGATCTGACCTGCTATACTTGGTGCGGGGCGAGGCGTGTAGCGGTGGTGGCAGTGGGTGCAGCGTCAAAGACAGTGGCTTTGGCACTGTGGGGTGGGCAGGGCGCAGCGGGAGAGGTGGGGGGTGGGGTGGGTGGGAAAGGTGGGGTTGAGGGGAAGAGAAGCCCGCCTGAAGTTTTATAGGAATATTCCTGCAACAGATATATATACAGGTACTGTGTGTGTGTGTGTGTGTGTGTGTGTGTGTGTGTGTTCTTGAACCATTTTAAAAAAACTTTCTAGTGATAAATGACATCAGAATTGGAGTGCCATTGTGCTCAATCTTTCAAAACTTAAGAATAAAACAATATGGTAGGATTTGGTAAAACGTAGTATCCCTATTTGTGAACCATAAGTTATTCCTCCTCACAGACATTCAAAATAACATCACCAATTGCAGTGTACATCAAAAAACGAGAGGAGGAACTAATAACGCATTTTAAGAAGAACCTGGAAGAGAAGACTCAAATGCTGCAGGCTGACATCAAAAAGCAGAGAAAGGAACTGAAGCTGCTGAAGGAGCAGCTTAACACAATGCAGGCTTCCAAATTTCAGGTCAGAGACCAGTTCTATGTAAGTGGCAGAGGGGAAAGGAAAAGGGGACAGTCTTCAAGGAGTTCATATATAGGGTCTGCTAGAAGTGACAGCTGCTGCCCCAGGGTAGCACATGTCGTCTGGAATAATCTTCAGCAGGGAATTAAGGCTTTGCCCTTTTTCTCTTGACTGTAGCACCCTAAATGGGTCTAGCCAGATTCTAAGAGTGGCAGATGTGGCTCATGTATAGCCAAGGATTCTTTGTGGGTTTGCCTGTGGGTAGTCTTGCTCCTTGCCTTGTGTCCAAGGGAAGGTGTGGACCCTGAATACACTGATACTGTGCTCTTACAGATGCAGCCAACCATGCCACAACACACTGGCAATTATGAGCCCGAGGCTTTGGAGCCAGCTCCCAAGAAACAATGCACTGAGCAAACGACGTCCTGTTCAGATACCAGAGAGACCCAAAGCGTTTATGCTTTATGTCCACCTCGTTCAATAAGATTCTATGAGTTGTATAAAGATCCTACACCTTTTGGTTCCTCCAGCCAGGTATGGAAAGTCTGTTTTCACTGGGTAGCTTAAAGGGGATTTCATTTTCATGAAAATGTATGTTTACCTGCTTCTGCTGATGGGTAATGACTACTCAGTTGGCTGCAATTGCTAGATTCCAGCTTGTTGCAGCCATGAACATGATGGTAGGTAGTGCCCTACTAAACAAGGTGACAGACACCCAGACCCCTATTGCCAGAGAGGGAGGACTACTGCTGCATTCTGCTTTGGGGAAATGGAGAGTGGTCAATCGATTTCTCAGAGGCTTTTCCAAACACTGAGATGTTTTCATCTTTTTCCTTTTAATGTAGCAGTACCTGCAGAAGCAGGAACAATACCTGCAGCTGCTCCAGGAACTTCAGCCCCAGCAGTGTAACATCATGGTAGAAAACCAGATACTGCAAATATCCTTGCCAAACCTTTCTGCGCCCCTCTATGATGATTCCGTTTTTTTATGCAGGTCCAGTTCACTGATGCTTTTTCCCAATCAACAGCTGAGGAACAAGATAAAAACATTGAGAGCCAGGAAGAAGAAAGTCAAATGTAAGAATTGCATGGGATGGTGATAAGGGATAAGGTCACTGATAAGTTTTCCTCATCAAAAGTATCTCCTACACATCTTACTCTGTGGCCACAGCCCCCTCCCCCTCCCCTCCTCTATATGCATGGTGCATAGCCAAACATATATTGATGAGACAGGAATCTGTGTGAGACAGGAGGATTAGATAAGGAAGCCTCCCATCTAGGGAATTAGGATCCAAATATTGAATTTGCTTGACTTCATCCACTCAGGCCCAGTCTCATGTCACAGGGTATAAGAGAAGTCACAAGTGCTCACAGCTAAATAACTCCTGGGATCCCAGTTTCCTTCTCCAATTTCAATAGAATCTGGTGATCACAGTAGAGTAGATGAAGGAGGTCTGCCTGGTGTGGGTGTTATAGTTGCTAGATTTCCATTGGATACCTAAAGAGCCAAGAATACAGAATTAAGTGCTGGGAAACAGTATGAGAACATGAACACATCTTCAGCTCAGTGATAAAGTCATTGGACTCAAATGCCAAAAAAGAGAAAGTTCTGCTCAACAATGAAGGGGTTTTCATAGCATATAGTTGATGCCCGATAAACATTTTTAAAATAAATGCCAGCTTTCTGAGCAGGCCTCCCCAAAACTCTCTGGATTTCCTTTTAGCCTTCCTTTAGGATCATTGAGGTGGATTAGTGCTGTGTTTCCCTGTGGCCTGATCATCAGAATCAATCTGAGGAGGTTTTTGAAAGTGAAGATTCAGAGTCTGACATAGGGCTCATAAATATATTTATTGTAAGACATTCAGGCTTAGGGCTATGGAGATAGCCCTGGACTTTGGAGTGAGGACATTAGTCTTGCAGCCTGTCTCAGCTGCTACCTTCTTTAGTAATGAAGGGCAGGTCACAGACTGGAATAGGTGAAGTAATTTGCAGAAAGCCACAGAGATCATCATTTTGTCAGAACCAGGATTGTCCAAGTAATATAAATGAAACCAATTGAGACAAATGACTATAATTTATCATGATATTTATATTTGCTTTACTTTGGCAAATGAGTCTTATTCAGGCCAAAGTGAAAGTATGCAAAAGGGAGTCCTTATTTAGCCACTAAAAACAAATGTGCCTTATCACCTACTGATGAGTAAAACAATGTTTCCTGGTCCATCTTCTTTAGATCCATGTCACTATAACATGTATCCTATCCTCTCTTACAGTTTTGTTCCTGAGGACCAGCAGAAACAAGACATGCCACCAGTAATATATAGCACAGATAGTGATGTTTTTCCTGCTAGCAGTTCTTCATCGGCTGTATATTCTGACTCAGATATAAGCACTCTGGAGACCACACTGGATTACCTCCAACTTTGGCCTAAGATATATGACCCAAATAGCAATATCAAATATGTAGTGAAAAGTTGGCCTTGCACTGACCAGAATGACGGCAATTCATCTGAGGTATACCATCCCCCTTCTCCTCTGCTCTCTGACCCAGGCCAGGGGTTCTGCACAGAGGCTTGGCCCCTTTCCTATAAGGCACACATCATGGGCTTATGCTCTGTGTATGAAATCCAAACTTCAAATCTCAGTGTCAGGAAAGTTATTCATATTCTGGTAGTACTCACTGCTGAATAAAAAGATTCTCTTTAGGCTTCCATGAAAAAGTCAGCAATTCTCATGGATGTTAAATGCAATTTGACTGAAAAACTTCTTTAAAAGCATGTGGTTCGGTTTGTTGGAAAATTTTCCCATAAACCAAAAGGTGGTGGGTTTGATGCTCAGTCAAGGCATCTCATCTACCCTGGTTGTGGGTTCGATTCCTGGTCAGGTCATGTATGGGAGGCAGCTGATCTATGTTTCTTGCTCATATCAATGTTTCTTCTCTCTCTCTCTCTCTCTCTCTCTCTCTCTCTCTCTCTCTCTCTCTCTCTCTCTCTCTCTCTCTCTCCTCTCTCCCTCTCTCTCTCCTTCTCATTCCCTTCCTCCTTCTCTGTCCAATTAACAAAACAAACAAACAAAAAAAAACATGCCCTCAGATGAGGATTAGAAAAATTCTCAAAAATATGTTACATGGGCAGAGTAGGTCAAGCATATGCCCATTATCCCAGCCCAGACCCCTTTAAAACTTGTAGATTTTTAGTTCTGCTACAGAACCCAGAACATAGTATGGGTGTTTCCACATAGGGAAAATAAACCAAGGGTCCTTCTTGTGAGTGTGCTTGTATATGTCAATGGGGGTAAACCTGACAGGGTAAACCCCACCTCAGAAAGCATCTGCATGCCATGTTTCCAGGGCAGTGATGGAAGCTGGTTCAGATGGCAGTCACATAGCAGGCTTTGCTCCCAGGTCAGTCCCAGAAGCCCCTTGGGGACCACAGATTCTTGCTATGATGAACAGCACTTACAAAAGTGTTTTGATTCTGGGTTTAGAAATATTAATAGAGCTTATCCTTTTTTAAAAAAAATCTAACAACAACAACAAAAACACTAAGCTAAAGCAAAATGAAAGAATTTGGATACTTTAAATGGCTAACGGTGTGTTAATTTCACGTGCACATCCTAAGCAAAGGAGCTGTCAAGTGTCTAGAACACATGTGTCAAACACAAGGCCCGCGGGCCAAATCCATCCCGCCAGGCCTTGCAATGTGGCCCGCACCGCGCTGTCATCACTGCACTCCGCTGCGTTTCCATCACAATGACAGTTTATGACTGTTCAGTAAACCATTTGGCCCGCGATTTAGGCTGGATTTTAGATTTTGGCCCCTTCTCTGATTGAGTTTGACACCCCTGGTCTAGAAAGTTGATCAGTTAGAGGTACTGCTCACACAAAGAGATCAGATAGTCATCGGACTCTGTGATTCAGTTACCAAGCCAGACTCTGCCCATTAGACCCTTCCTTGTGCCCACTCTCAAGGTACTTCCCTTCTGGATGGACCCTGAGAGGCAGAGCTAAGACAAAGTGAGCACATAATCCAGGGAAATTGAGAAGGGAGAACCCTGGAAGGGTGAGCGGATAGGAGAGTGCATTGGAGCTGCCAAGGGCAGAACCGAGTAGGACCCCCCCCTGTCTGTAAGACTTCAGGATTCCCCACACCCTGCCCTGGCTCATCTCTACTGCCCTCTGGCCCTCCCTCTCACCAGGTTCCCAGATACCTCCAGCTCTCTGTCCATTTTCAGCTATTCTCCTTCTGTTTCCTCTGTCTTCTTCTCTACTTTGTTGCATTCCACTTGTTGAAATCTTGCATTATCTTCAGAGCCCAGCCCAAGTCTCTTTTTCGACAGAAAAGACTCTCACAGCCCACTCTTAGTAATACTATTTTTATGTTTGTTTCTCCTTTTCCCTTTCTCTACAGCCCAGAGTGTGTTGTTACTACTCGTGTCACCCTGTGGAAGTGGGCCAGGTAACTGCCAATAAGTCTAACCAAGTCGAAGCCAAGTAGTGGGAAAGTCCAAGGGTAGGGGCAGAGAGAGGCCATTTAAGGTTTTCACTAGCCATGGCTGGCAGAGGAATTGGGCCGGGAGGGCCAATAAGGGACCCAGTAGCTTTAGGCATTAAGACAAGTTTGGGAGAGCCCAAGCCTGCTTCTGCTGGTCTTTAAGTCAAAATGCTGTTGGGAAAGGGAAGTGGGAAGGAACTCCATTTCTCCAATTCTACCCTCTGCCAGCACCTTTCAGGCTTGTGTTCCAAAGTGGTACTTTTCTATACCTTCATGACTTAAACCAAGGGGTCCTTCCACTGTTATAAATTGGGCACAGGAACTTTTAGCAAAGGACTTCACATTGTTCCCATTTTTCCCCCATCAGGAGGAACTAAATCCTGGGTACGAAACCGAGGAAACTTCAAGTCCACGGGGTTCCCAGGACACTACTGATGATCCAATAGAAAAAGCCAACGCTTACTTATCTTCAGACCAGTCTGACTCAGATGATTAGCTGAACCAGCAATATTCTCATACAAAGCCTTGGGAAGGGCTCCTAAAGTCCCTTGGAGTTATACTTACTATTTTCCCCCCATAAAACTGTTTTTGTAATTTTTAGTTGAACACAACCTATGTCTTTTAAGCTATACTGCAGTATTATCTCTAGTGTACTAATGTGTGACAGCAGCCAGGCCATGGCAGGAGACCACTGTGCCAATATACCCTGCCCAACTTTGCACACAGCTCTTCCAAACAGGCTATAGTGTGCCCAAGTTAAAATGCCTTCTTTTTCTGTCAAGAAAATATTTCTCGAATGTATTGCAATCTAGTAAGAAGCTTGTTTTGTCTTAAGCTGAAATAATTCTGAGACCCTGTCAAGCCCCGGATGCTCCCTACAGTGTTACTGGGACCAGGAAACCCGCAGGGAATAGCATTACAATTGTGAGGGGCTCCAACTTAATGTTTCACAGTTTAATAAAAATTGTTTTTGCATTTATGACTGACTTTGTTTTCTTATTTTTCTATGCCTGGTTCATGGGACTTAGAAATAATATTGCCTTAGCTGACTGATGCTAAGGTCCTGAGTAAAGGGCTCTTTTCCTGGAGTTTTGTTCCTTGTATGTGACCAAGCTCCCCATTCACATCTGAGTTCCCTACTACTCTTGCAGAGGCCATTGGTTCCTTCCTACCTTCCCAAGTGGCTGTGTGCTCAGGCCCCCTATGTGGCTGGCAGAAGCCAGTTAGATTGACACTAGGGCAGCCACAGACTCACTAGGCTACAATAGTTTGGCCTAGGAGCTAGCCAGTGTGTAGATTGTATTTATACCTTACTAACCACCTCAGAGACTATATAAAGGGCAAGGTTCCCATTCAGTTGGCATGCAGGTTCCTTTTCACCTAGGATAGCTCTTTTGGGGGGAAGGGTACACTTCCTGGAAAAAAAAAAGTGATTAAGTGATGTGCTTAATATCAAGCACCAAAGAGAGCATTTTTCTAGCTATCCACACAGTAGGAGGAGCAGGGAGGAGGGCTTGGGTAACTTTACCAGAAGTCATTTTGTGCCTTTAATATCAGTATTAATGTAATGACCCATTGCTGGTTGAAGGCAAAGAAAACTTCCAGTGTCTAGTGACAAGTTAAAGGTGGCACATGAGTTCTCACACCCATAGGAGGAGCTTGACATTCCTCATCCAGCCTGATTTCTATCAGGGTGCTATGGACTGAATCCCACCTCCCCCCAACTCATGTTAAAGCCCTACCCACAATATGATGGTATTTGGAGGTGGGACCTTTGGGAGGTACTTAAGCTTAGATGAGGGTGAGGTCCTCAGGAAAGGATTAGAAGAGACACAAGGAACTTGTTCTCTTTCACATTGTGTGCACAAAGAGGAGGTCCATGCCAGCATAAGATGGTGGCCATCTACAAGCAAAAAGAAGAGGTTTCAATAAAACCTACCTTGCTGGCCAAAACTGGTTTGGCTCAGTGGATAGAGGGTCGGCCTGCAGTCTGAAGGGTTCCAGGTTCGATTCCAGTCAAGGGCATGTACCTTGGTTGCGGGCACATCCCCAGTAGGGGGTGTGCAGCAGGCAGCTGATCGGTGTTTCTCTCTCATTGATGTTTCTAACTCTCTCCCTTCCTCTCTGTAAAAAATCAATAAAAAATATATTTAAAACAAACAAACAAACAAACAAAAAACTACCTTGCTGGCACTTTGATCTTGGACTCCCAGTTTCCAGAATTGTGATAAAGTCTGGTATTTTGTTAGGGCAACTGGAGCTGACTGCTATTTACTTTCAGACTTGTCTCTTTGTAGCCATTGGAAAAGAGCAGCTGAAGGCCCATCACTTGTCAAAATCACAATTTGGCACTTATAGGCATGCCTCCAATTGTGTTCAGCAGATGCAGAACATTTTCAAGATTTGGGTTTCTTGCAGGGCCCAGCAGAGGTAGGAGTAGAGGTCAGGGGCATTCTTGATACCCTCTTAGACTTTGGATAAGCAGGGTTGGAAGTGACTGGCATTCTAGGCCATTGGCAGGGATTCTGTTGCCTCCTGCATTGGCAGCTGCCTCTCTTGAGAGGTCAAGTTTGGAGACAGGCTGATGAGTGGCCTGCCACCTTCTCTGGGGAGTACATGGGACCACTGTATCCATTCCTACCAGAGAGTACAAGAAGGACTGCATATAGATGAGAGTGATAAGAAATTGCAGGGGAGCAAAAGGTGCTGCTACACTTTTGTGCAGAGTGGCTGAGGCTTAGGTCAAGAGCTGCCTCATAAATGGGGCATTAGGGAATACAGGCTCCTTATAGCTACTCAGTTGACTGGTAGCATTCTGACCATGGGGGCAGAGGTTTACTGTGCAGCATCAGTAGTTCCCAAAGCCATACCTGGCATTTTAAACACAAAAAATATTGGTCCCTGTCCTGATTCTCCTTTTACATGGCAAGGGAGAGATGGTCAGGGAGATCCTTGAGTGGTTTACTCCTAGAAGAAAGGCAACTGAGGTCCGACTGTCCCTTAAGTTATTTGGGCCTCAGTTTCTCCATAATAAAAAAGTGAGGAGACAATGTCTTTTCTACCTAGCTCTTAGAGAAGATGCAGCTAAATGGATTGATAATGCTGCAAGATATGATGGTTGTTCAGTAATGATTTTGTCTACCCTTCTAGCATGAAGCCCAATTCACTTTCCCTGACTGGGAAAGCATAGGAGTTGCATTTCTCTGTTGATGGTGTGGAGGAAGTTGGAAAAAGACAATAGAGGTGTCTTGGCTGTCACACATGGCAGAGCTTCTAGACACACCCATTATCAACTCATTCCCAGGTTGATGACACACACATAATCAACTCATTCTCAGCCTTGTCACTGAGCAAGACAGTCTGCATGCAATAGAATCTTTCTTGCACAGACTTAACAGCTGAATAGTCATGTGTTTTCTATGTCATGAAAAATTTTGTGTTACTATTCCCAAATGCCTTTTTAAATAAAGAAGGAAGTGTTATTAAAACTCTCACCCCCAGTCTATGTTCTTCCTTGACTCCATTTGCAGGACACAGTAAAGCTAATGCTCTCTGTGGTATCTTGAATGTCTCAAGTATTTTGAAGACAATGAAAGTGAAGGACTTGGAATATTTTGGGGTGTGAATGCTCTCTGTCAACATCACTGAGAAGGAAATGTTGAGAAAGGTTAGGCAGAGGCAGAGGGAGTAATGTGACCACAGCTCACAAATGGTGCTTCTGTTACTGAGGTGAGAGGAGGATGTTGGTCTTCCAATATGGAACATATCTCCAGCTTGAGAAGCCACAGCAAAGTCCATCCACATCTCTCAAAATGGACTACAACAACCTTAATGAAAGCTCTGGTTTATAGCAAAGACCCAATTAAATGTTCCATAGGGGATATTAAATAGTTGGAATGTGTTTTTGTTTTCATGGGTAAGCAAGATAATGTTGAATGGTTTTCCACTGGTTATAAATAAAATCCAAATTCTCAGCCTTTCTCTTCCTCCACAGTTGCATGTCTCTCTTCCTTTCATATACTCTGTTCCCAGCTTCGCTGAACCATTGGGTTTGAACCAAGCTCTGGATTTTCTGCCCTTGTACATTTATCACTATTCCATACACCTGAAATGTCCTTACCTCCTATCTCTGCAGTTCCAATCCTTGCCCATGATGTAAAGCCCAGCTAGGAGGCTCCCTCTGTTCCCCTACCTCCTCATGTCTCACTGGGACCACCCACGTCTCTGTTCAGCTCCCGCTATACATGTAGCATTGCTGCTTCTAGACTGAGCTATAGTGGGCAGCAGAGACTGGGGCCATTCTTGGGGCCCCCATGCCACACAATGCCTTGCAGACTGAACCTTCCTTCTACAAATGTTCCAACAACATCTTTGTAACTGAGGCCCATAGCATTCACCAGGAAAATGTTTCACAAAGAAAAACAGCTTTTTAGGATAGGATCATCCTACAGAAAGTCAAGCTAGTAAGGCCCTTGTCTTCTTGGGCAACTTCCCAGCACCTAAGATGGGCCAGCCCATCCCTGAGGCCAAAAGGTAGCCCCCTGGGTCTAAGGAAATACATTATTCTTTTTAGCTCAGGTATAAGTGTTCTTAGCTTCTTGACATTAGCCAGTAATCTGGCAGCCCTTCAGGCTTCTTCCTCAGGGAGGGCCTAGGAAATGAGGGTGTTCACAACATGTTGAAGTACCTTGCAATAGGACGACAGTCCTGGCCCCTGCATTGCCACTTTCATATGGGACTAAAGGGGAGGAGGGTGCTTGGTGGATAAGAGAACAGAGTATAACTTGGGGAGCAAAGGAGCACCATACTCAGGTGGGCAAGTGTCTGTGCTGGTGGCTTCATTTAATCTCTACAAATCCCTTTGTGGCACGTGAAAGGCAGGAACACTTCAGGGAGAAGGGGAATGAGAGGAATTGGCAGTGATAACCAAATGCCAAGAAGCCACATGGTCACTTTGTTGATGAATTAAAACCCACAACCCTACAGAATCAAAACATGTCAAAGGCATGGAGACAAAGGTCAACAGACAGGACAGACAAATTGCAATATTTAGAAATGTGAAAGTGTTTGTGTAATCTGTATAGGTTTCTACCCTCAGCCAGTGAGGAAGGTAGCGGGGAGAGGGGCTGGAAACTCAACTTGGATGAGCCTGACTTCAGCCGAGAACCGGGCTCTGGTCTCTTGGCTAGAACTCCACTTACAGGGAGATTTACACCCAGAACCTTGAAGCACATGGTTTGCTAGGAAAGCCTAGGGGTGTTTATGGACATCAGTGGACTGGGGCAGGACATGGGGCCATCCAGTTTAGTGCTGCTCCTTTATTCTCTTCCCATCACCTGCCTGTAGCAATGCCCATCAATTTCCATCTGGGATGTGATGCCAAGGAAGGCAAGACACTGAGCTTTTATTTTAGATTTCTACCTGCTACCCACTTGCTCTGAAACATTGGGCAAATCAATTTGTCTCTGGTATATAAGGACAAAGATAAGAGGTTTGCTCTAGATCAAGGAACCAATGAATGAAAGAGTAAACAAATGTCACCCTTTTATCCCCTGAGTCTGGCCCCTGTGCCCCACCCTGCAGCTCTAATAAAGACACAAAGGGGGTGCCTTATCATACTATAGAGACTGTCCACCCCTTGTTGTATTCACTTCCCCTCCTCTCCTATCTCAGTCCTTTCTTCTCAACTTACATGCATGCTCAGGATAGAAGTCCCCTGGAAACCATCTTCAAGACCCACCTCCTCCTTTGACTACTGCACTTTCTGCTTCCTCAGTCCCCAATCTCCACTTGAAAAGTGACCCATGATTCCCAAACCTCAGTACCCCACCTCTGTTCTCCCTGCTAGCTTCCAGACCTTTAGATCCCACTGCATGCTGGACATCTCTCCATGGGTGTTCCACAGACAAGTCAGCATCAACACAGC